TCATCAAAACTCCATAAAGATACAATCCTTAAACTTTATAACCACTTATAATCAATGGGTATATAAAACCCCCAAATCAATTGTAAGTTAGAAACCTTAAAATCAACACTTCAATAATTAAAACCCTAACTTTTAATACTTTATAAAATTTTAAAATAAAACACTTTATAATCTAAAATTTACGATCTCATCAAAACATAATTACAAACATACTAGTAATAATTTACAACTAAAATCAATACCCAATAATTAATTACAAACATACTAGTAATAATATATATATATATATATATATATATATATATATATATATATATATATATATAACCAGGAATAGAGAGGAGATGGTGGCTCACGGTGTTAGGCGTGACAGGCCGGCAAGGGTGACGTGGAGGTGGGGTCGCCGACCGGTGGTGGCTGGGAGTGAAGTGGCAGCGAGGGTGGCGTGAGGTGGCCGCTTGTTTTGGGTGAATGATGTTCACGCATGAACATCATTAGTGGGAAAAAAAAAGAAAAAGAAAGTATAAGAAAAGAAGAAAAGAGAGAGAAAGAGAAATTAAAAAAAAATAAGAGAAAGAAAGAAAATAATACTTATCCGAAAAATATTATTTTCAAACCTCTTTGTGTGGGAAAATTTTGGGATTTAGTGGGATATTTATAGATTAGAGAATAGGGTTTAACTTTGGGCTCAATAAATAAGTGAGCTTAAGTTATGTAATATTTTACCCACTAGGGTTCATATAAAGGGTTGGGCTTATTTAAATGAAATGAGTTATTCTAATAAGAGTATGTATGACTAGTTTACATACGATATTTTAAATGAGCCCAAATAATTAATAAGCGTTCGGCCCAAAATATAATTTAACCCTTTAAAATAATTAAATAAAATACTTGATCTCTTAAAAATATATTTTATAAATGCTTAAATACTTTATAAAATACATAAAAATAAGGAGTATTACAGGACTTGAGTTTAAGTCTTGTTATAAGCATGTTTTAGATACAAACCTAATACATGTGAAAGTGACATGTCATGTTTATAATCACATGCGGCGCATATTGCTGACATGTCGAACTTACGCTTTTTAATATATAAGTATAGATATATTGGTTGTAAGACATAAAAAAAAAAAGGAATTCCAATGAAATATATTGTTTGCATTGTTTGGGCCTAATCTAGTTGCACCTTGATCTACCATGCAACTATTGTCGTATTGCGTGTTTGACTGCAAATTTTTGGATGAGGTCGCGCCTAGAATATAAACATTTACCAGAAAAAAAATTTACTAGAAAAAAAAAGAACATTTATTTTTTAACATTTCATTTTTCAAAGTGGACAATTATAATATAAGAGTAAAATAAAGAGACTATGAAACTGAAAAAAAATTAAATAAAAAGGACTGTACATTTAATACTTCCTCCGTTTCTATTTAGTTGACGCGTTTGATTTAGGCTCATATATATATTAAGGAGAGGAGAGGGAGTGAGAGAGAATGAAAAAGCAAGTGGGGTAGCTAGTAAATACAAGGTAAAAATTTTACCCCAAAAAGAAACGTGTCAACTAAAAAAAATTCCTAAAAAGAAATATGTGTCAACTAAAAAGAAACGGAGATAGTACGGAGTATTATATAACTGAACATTGAACATATGATGTTATTGCTTATCCATCAATATTTTTTTAAAGCTTTAAGTTAAATACCTTGATTTGTTCAATTCTCTTGAATGGATATCTTGCAATTGAGCTATATGATTTAATACCAATTAATAAATCAACAATATGGTTTTTTGACAATGAACAAAATGCTAATGTTAATTGGACATCCTTATTATAAAATCGAACATTTTATACAACTGAACAAACACAAAAAATTTATTGATTCAAAAATAATATGAACATTAATTTTTATAATAACGAAAATCATTTGACATGAAAATGAACATATATTTTATAAAATTGAACATCATACTGAATATTTTCAGTTAGAAAATGTTCATTTTTACTATAGTGAATATTCATTTTAACAGCGACCTCATCTTGCTATTCCGCTAAACTGTCAACCCGACCCGAAACTAAATTGTGGATCCAACTTTCATTTACATACCTTCTCCGTCGAAACTTCTGTTCTCTAAGGTCAAGGGTCGTCAGAAGAAAAATGAGATCTCTTCGTTACTTGATGACCGGGGGGTACTCCAACATGGGCATACGGATGTTCATCGGGTTGTTGTGCAGTCTCTTAAGAAGACCTTCAAAACTTATTTAGTACCTTCTTATGATTCGGAAATTGATACTGTTCTGCAAGAGTTAGACCTTCCTCGGTTTAATTCATCTCAAATCGCTAATTTGGAGCGTCCCTTCACGCCTTCTGAGATTCGAACTGCCATGTTCTCTTTAGGGAACTGTAAGTCTCCGGGGCCTGACGGAATTACAGTAGAATTTTTTAAAACTCATTGGGAAGAGGTGGGAGATTCAGTGGTCCTGGGTATTCAGAGTTTCTTTCAATCAGGGTTTCTCTTAAAAGAGTGGAATCAGTCACTCCTTGTGATGATTCCTAAGATTGGTAATCCTACGGAGATGGTCCATTTACGTCCTATTAGCCTGTGTAACACAGTGTACAAGTGTGCGTCTAAGTGCTTGGTTGCCAGATTGCGCCAATATCTCCCCTTTCTAATCTCTGACTCCCAGCACGCCTTTGTTCAAGGCCGCGTTATGACGGATAATATTTTACTGAGTCATGAGTTAATGTAGAAAATTAACTGTTCCAAAACGTGCACGAATTGGCTAGCTTCAATCAAAATTGATATGAGCAAAGCATATGATAGAGTTCACTGGAGTTTTCTTCTACAAGTCCTTAAAGCCTATGGGTTCCCGGATCGCTGGTTGCAGATGATTCAACAATGCCTGGCTACAGTTACTTACAAATCTTTGATCAATGGCACTACTTCGGATACCTTTAAACCACAATGTGGCCTTCGGCAGGATGATCCTATCTCTCCGTATCTTTTCTTATTGTGTATGGATATATTATCTTGAATGCTGCATTTAGGGCAGGATCTTAAGCTTTTTCAAGGAATCAAGTTGTCTAGAACCAGCCCTTCAATTTCGCATTTATTCTTTGCGGATGACGCTCTAATCTTCTTTCGCGTAATGACTACTTCCTGTTCTAATATCATGCAAATTATTCATCGATTTACTAAGATTTCGGGAGAAGAGATTAACTTGTCGAAGTCCTTAATAAAGTTTAGCCCAAACGTCTGGCCCGCCTCTCAGGCAGAGTTCAAATTGATATTTCGAATGAAGCATGTGCAGGTGTTCGATCATCACCTGGGGGCTCCAATCGATTTCGTTGGTAAGAAGAAGGACCACTTCCAGTTTATCATCGATAAGATTAGTGGAAGAATAAATAGTTTGAATGTTGTTCGCCTGTCTCAAGCCCAGAAGTTGATTTTCATTAACTCTATTCTAGTCGCTATGGCGTCCCATGTTCTCGCTTGCTATGAGTTACCGGTCTCTGTCACTGGGAAAATTGATTCCTTAATTATGCGCTTCTTCTGGGCGCATTCTGATACTAAAGGTATGCATTGGGTAAAAAATGACACCATGCATCTTCCTTGCGGCCTGGGTGGCCTGGGTATTCGCTGCTTATCTTCCTTAAACAAAGCGATGCTTATGAAACAGGTTTGGAGACTCTTTTCCAATCCGCAGCTTCTTGTTTCCAAAGCTTTTGGGGCTTGTACAACCTTTCTTTCAAATAATCCACATACTGGGCTACCTTCTCTGGTCGCCATTCGTACGGGCTTAGGGGATTACTTAAGGCAGACACCCTCTTAAAGCAAGGGTGCAACTGGAAAATTGGTAATGGCCGCTCTACTCCTGCTGGATCAGCTAACTGGGTCAATGGCCGGATTCCCGAGTTCAAAACCGGAATTTCAGCAACTACTGCTGCAGCGCTTTCCGTTAGTTTCTTCATCCACCCTGCTTCAACAGGGTGGAATACTGCTACAGTTCATGACTGGTTTATGCCTCAGGATGCTTCAGCAATACTTGCTTCGGAGACCCTTGATACGTCGCAGGAAGATTTTCGTTATTGGGCGCACACCCCGTCCGGAAGGTACTCGGTGAAAACTGGCTATGCAATGATTCAACATCAACTTTATCTTGAGTCCTCTCTGTCTCCAGTTGATTCCTTTTGGAAAGTTCTTTGGTCTCTCCACTTACAGCCTAAGGGGAAGTTGTTCCTATGGAAACTGTTGCACCAGGCTCTAGTAGTTAAGGTGGAACTCCACCGCAGAGGGGTCCCGATTCAGGATGACACTTGTGACCTCTGTCCATCGGAGCCGGAGGATTTACAACATATCTTTCGAATGTGTTTTAATGCGCGCGTAGTTTGGAGGGGTGGATGCCTTGGCATTCGCTCAGAATTTAATGGAGCCCTTTCTCTTTCAAATTGGATCCAAGATTATGTCTGACTTTTTATTAGTCAGGATGGGCCCTCGAGTGCTCGCTTAGGTTCCTTTGTTGGTACTCTTTGGAGTTTGTGGTTATGTCGAAATTCCAGGGTCTTTAGGGCAGTAAGTGCTTCAAGGTCCTTTGACTCTCAGTTAGCAGAGGTCATGGATACTCATTCTGTGTTCGTTTCCTCGGCCGCTATTGTTTCTTCCCCTTCTGTTTGCGGAGGGGAGGCTGGAGATTCTATTCCACCTGGTTTTTATAATGCTTTGCTTGGTCGGACTACTGCTGAGACTTCCTCTGTTTCTCTTCAAATCGATGGAGCTTGGTTCCAAGGCTCTCAACATGCTGGGATGGGTTGGTGTTTGGATAATGATGACCCGTTGGATGACCGCATTATTGGAGGAAGTAACTTCGGGGTTGCTTCTTCTCCTTTACATGTGGAGGCTTTGGCTTGCTTGTACGGGCTTCAATGGGCTTTCGATCAAAAGCTGCATTCTGTCACGGTCTTTACTGATTCCTTTAATCTGGTTACTCTTCTGCGGGGGGATGGACGAGGTGATGTGGCTTACCTTTGGCTCATTCGCAAGATTCAACAACTAGGCTTGAAATTTCAGTATTGTTGTGTTCATAAAGCGGATCGTCAACGTGTTCTTCGTGCTCATCAAATTACGGGGGAAGCGGCGGTTAATTTTATTTGTTTTAGTATTACTAATTAGTCTGTTTGTATCGTCAAAAAAAAATAAAAATAAATAATAAGTTAAAAATTGTACATATGACAGCCAATACATTTCCACAAGGAAAAGTAAAAAAGGTCAAATTAAAACGGCAAACTGAAGTTTCCAACATGATTACCCTTCCTTTATTTCTTTTCACATAATTTAAGGTGAAAACAACTTTCCTTTCCTTTCCTTTCTTTTATTCAACACAACAAATTACACCAACAACAAACTCAAAACCAATACATAGTCTCTGTACACAAAGCTAGCATTCTTCTTCTCTGTTTTGCTCTCTCATGCAACACCAAAAATGGGAAACCTCTGCACATGCCTTTCCTACGAAGACATAAACAACAAAAAACAAAACCCGAAACGCCAATACAATCGATCAACCTCCGCCCCTGCCACCACCATCAGCAACAGCAACCGTTGGTCGAGGATTCGATCGTCGAGACGAGAGAATTTTAAGTTTGATGACCCTGTTCTTCATCAACAAGCTCTTGCCGCCGCTGCGATTATTCTAGAGCAGCAGCGGCAAGAGCAGCGTAATGGCGAGACGGGTTTACCATTTGACCGATCAACCTCTTTAAGATACCCTGGTACTTCTAAACACAATAATAGTAATAATAAAAACGGTGGTATTACTTTGCCCCGTAGTTCTAGTACTCGTGCTCGTTCTCTTACCGATCCTCTTCTTCAACCTCATCAGCTTCTTAATCAGGTTTGCTTGTTTTATTTTTATTTAATTATCATAAATATTGATCATGGTTGTTTTTATTTTATTTAATTATAGGAAATGTAATATTTGTGTGTTCTTTTTATATGATCTTTTGATTAAGACGTAAGTTAAAATATAATGTTAATTGAAACTTTCAAAATTTGTTTGTCTTCTTGTTTGTTTCTTGTTATCAAACTAAATCTGGTCAATAGTCAATCGCCTTGGTATTACAATGGGATTACACCGCCAATGTCGACTATGTTTAGTTGGTATAGTCTTAGGATGGTCAATCGAATAGTGTCAACATCACTGTACTTTGTGACTCTTGTTACTCCTAGAAAGTTACTCGAATACTATTTATGGTTAGCTCTTGTTACTAATTTACAATTAAGATTATAAAAATACCAAGTAATTATCATGTTGTTGGTGGCAAAATTGTAGAGCATTAGTTTAATTAATTACTACCGTTAAGAAAGAGTAGTTTAGGGGAAACAAGAAGAGAATGATAATTAATGTTACTTAAATGGCGGATCAAGTTAGGTATGTCTGAAACCAGTTTAGCAAATTCTGCTGCCACCCTTTCTTCGAAATTGCCTGCCCTTTAATTTGCAAAAATTAATGTAACAATATTAAAATATTAAATATTCGTAAAAAGAATTGAAAAAAAAATAAAAAATCATTTTTGGAACCCTCTTACCCCTTTCCTTTGATTCACCTTATTGTTGGTTATGTGTAGTTTGTTCATTTTCTACTTTTGGTCCAAGAATAATATGATGATGATAAATTTTTGACAATGATGTTTTCTTTTAAAGAGAAGAAAATGATGATAATGATGTTAAGTTGATAGCAATGTGAGCTTTTTATTGATATAGCTTTTTCATTAAATTACAATTGAAAAAATAAAGCTCGGTCGGCCAAATTAGAGAAAAAAAAACCATAAAAAACAGTTGAAAATCTGGAAAGTAGCTACATTAAGTGCAAAAGAGTGTACTTGTTTTTATGGTCCCAACTTCTAACTGTAAGACTATAGTCCAGGTGCTTGGTTAATCCTTTATTTTTATAGGGCGGATCTAAGTTCAAGGGTTGCATGTGGTGTCTTGGTGATAGCATGATACTAGATTATTAATGTGATCAGTTGAGGGATGTTTCATGGATATTTTTCTTTGTTTTAAGGGTGGTGGGGGTCGAGCCACGGGCGGTAGGGGGACCAATCAGGAGCTAATTATTTCTCTCTTATGCCGTTTATTGTTTGTTTACTTATGTATAGATCAGAGTGGATGGGGTTTGAAGTGGTTATTGTAGAATGATATAATGTACAAGAATGAAAAATATGTTTTTATTAACATAATTTCGACTTTGTTTCCCAAATAAGAAGTAAACTCGGATCTTTGATTAATGTTTTAGTGATATGGTGCTCTCAATTCTAACTATTATCATGTATGAATGTGCAAAGAACTCAAGGATTGGATTGGATTGGATTGGATTGGAGATGGATTTCAATTATGATTAATTAAAAAAAATATATATGTATCAGGAAATATTAATTCGGATGAGAGGTAGCAAATTTACTTATTTAGACAAGGGCTAATAAGTTAAGATTATGGTTTTTCGGTTGAAAATAATGAAGCCTTATATTGGATTGAATTATGTGTATGGCAGGATGCAGGACTTGAAGGCTTAGAAACGAATAAATTTGTGCTTGTTCATGGAGGTGGTTTTGGTGCTTGGTGTTGGTATAAGACCATTGCGCTACTGGAAGAATGTGGTTATAAGGTTACAGCTATAGACTTGACGGGTTCTGGAATTCATTCATCGGATAGTAATGGCATTACAAGTCTTGCACAATATGTGAAGCCACTTACTGACTTTCTCGAGAAACTTGCTGATGGAGAAAAGGTTCTTTTGTTATTCGATATACTTTCTATTGTAGTTAAACTTCATTTCTAAGCAGATATAATTGATGTTAGGTCTATAAATTGTCTGTGACTGTATTGAAGTTTACTTATCGTTGACATTGTTCATGTGTCTCATTTCAATCGAACACTTAGTGAGCTAGGAAATTGACAGGGTAGATGCATTTGCCAAAAGATCCTTTATTGTTCTTGTACACTTTAATTAATCTTACTTACCGAGTTGTTTATGATTTTTCAATTCTTTTTCTCTTGTTCTGTAATGCAGGTGATTTTGGTAGGACATGATTTTGGCGGTGCTTGCATATCATATGCAATGGAATTGTTTCCATCTAAAGTGTCAAAGGCTGTTTTCATTGCTGCAACAATGTTGAATAATGGCCAAAGTGCTCTTGATATCTTCTCACAGCAGGTTTGCTTCTAATTTATTTGCATCTTTTGCACTGGGAAGCAAACATTTGTCAGTTTGGTGAGCGAGCTATAATATACTCCCTATAGAAATATTTCACATTATTATGTTTTGGTTGAGTGGAAATGAGAGAGAAAAGTGGTGAGACCTTAAAAGTAGTTTTGTGAGAGTAAAGTGGTGGTCCTCATGTACATTAATATTACGAAGCAATCTTTAAGGAATGGCTTAAAAATAAAATCAGGGCAAACAAAAAGGGACAGAGAGAGTATAAACAATTAAACTGTTGGCTATAAACAAGTTATTTCGTGAACTGGCTTTAAAATTTGTCACTTCCCAAGTCAACAACCTGCCTCCTGTTATTTTGGTGTTCAGTTTTTAAAAATATATATGCTTTTTGAGTTTTGGACAATAAATTGGGTAACTAGTGATGAATCTAACTTTGTCAACTGCATTGTCTGCCTCAATTGTTTTTTGAGAAAATTGGCAGTAGTCATTTGGTGCCTCTGTGGTGGTTCGTCAAGACTTCAGCCACACCCAAGACAAGGGGTTTAGCACAATGGAATTTCAGCAGCTCAGCTGAACATATTTCTCTCTTTTTTCATCCTTCCACTGTGCTGATTTTCTAGTATTCTGAATATAGCATATTTGAGGAAGTCTAAGAGTTTGTGTCAATAAAATTACTTAGGCTGTCAGAGCTTTGATGTAATGGGGCTATTTAGTATTTCTTCCCTAGAATGCATGATAGAATGGGGTTAACTCACTTTGATATTGTAATGGTTTTCATTAGATGTTTCGTGGAAACCCGATGGTCTTGTGCTTTGACAAGAGTCCTTTTGCATGTTTTGTCAATTGGCATATTGTGCAGAATTGCATCAATAACTTCTAAAAATCTTAGGGCGCGTATTGTTTCCTAATTGTGTTATCGTTGTTTGCATCAGGAAGAGGCCAAGGATCTAATGAAGCAGGCTCAAGTTTTCCTCTATGCAAATGGAAACAATAATCCTCCAACTGCTATTGATCTTGACAAGTCATTGCTGAAGGAGTTGCTATTTAACCAAAGCCCGTCGAAGGTAAATCATATTCCACTCTTGATTTTGAAATTTTAATGCTATTGCTGGTTTCAAAATTTCACACATTGTTATCTTGAAATGGATTTATGATCAAAACATATAATATTAATCTCTTCCCTAGCGATCACATGTCAGAACCATATTGTTTGTTGCTGTACATCCAACCAAACTAATTCTGATTAACCTTATAGGTGACCAAAAAAAAACTTAATTCAACAGTATTCGACTGTTTGAACAAGTTTTTCCTTGTTCCTTCTGGTGTTATCTTCTTGTTGTTCATATTACCAAGTTCATTCGGATTAATCAGACTGCCTTCTTTTCCTTTTCCTTTTTTTTTTTTTTTTTTTCGTTTTTTGATTTTTCCTAATTTGTGTGGAGGAAGGGTGGTTAAGAAATTCAGTCATAGTTATCCTTTTCTCAAGTGATCTTGATTAGTCGTAAGAGTTTAGGGAGCCACAAGGAATCACCGACAATGTATGACACTAAGTGATAAGTTGGTGATTTGCAAAGCTCTTAGCATGGTGTACTCAAATAAACAAAATCTGAAAGAAAAGGAATGTTATCTTATGTTTTTCATTGAATATCTCAGTCATACCTCTCTCACTGAACCGGTTATATCTTGGTGCAGGATGTTGCACTGGCATCTGTGTCAATGAGGCCAATACCATTTGCACCTGTTTTAGAAAAGCTGTGTCTCACAGATAAGAACTACGGTTCTGTACGACGCTTTTACATAGAAACTACAGAAGATAATGCAATAGCTATCGCTTCACAAGAACAAATGACAAAGGCAGCCCCTCCAGAACAGGTCTTGCGTCTCAAAGGTGCAGACCATTCACCATTCTTTTCGAAGCCACAAGCTTTGCACAGACTCTTGGTTGAGGTCTCAAAGGTTCCTTAAGTTTGTAACTACTTTCTGCCTTATGCTACTTTGAAGTGACATTTTGATAATGCCATTGCCCTTTTAGCGCATGAATACGCGGTGTTCAAATTGTATAGGTTACTATTCCGAGATCTTTTAATGTAGTTTTACGTCTCTAAACTTTTGTTGGTGCAATCCTGAACAAATTTTGAGTATTTTGGCCAAGGTTACTAGCACCAGCTACTACTAGGTTCAATGTTGAAATGAAAAGAGAGAGATGATAAGTGAAATTTGAAATTGTTTGTGAATAATGTAAATACATCGGTGTCGTGTATTTTCCCATGGCTTGAGTTACTATCTCCATCAATTTATACCTAGTAAAAAAAAGATAATGGTGGTGTCTAAAAACTTGTTTCTGAACCTACAAGAATATGGATTTGCATTTGACCCAAATTCGAGTTATTAAGGGTTTGTTCTCATTGACTGGACTTAGCTGAACTGAACTGAACTGAAATGAATATTTTATAAGAGAAAGAAATTAGGAGCTGAGCTGAACTTAACTGAAAATAAACGTATGAGAACAGGCCCTAAGACATTTAAGTTCAAACCATACAATTTGATATCCGATCTCAAATGAAGCCATTTCAAATCCAAAACAATGCTCATTTTTCCTCCCCGACCTTCAGCTGCTAGTTGCAGAAATGGAATAGTCATTTTCCTGACTCTTGTATACTTAATGCTAAGTGCTATAACATAACAGTCCTAGGCTCCTAGCAGTAAAACACACAATTCTCAAACACAAATGAAATCATAATATGCATATTACTCAAAATAAACAAGCGTCAAAATAAAAACCACAAACAACAATATAATTGGCAATGTATTAATGAACATAAGAAAAGAGATTTCGTCGCAGCCCACATACAACATTAAAATTGGCTGTACCATTCAAGAAATTACCAAATCGAGTACATAGTATTACTAGCATATTGCAAGCCTCATCTATAATGATTGATGTCACCTGTACAGAATTGATCAGTTCGATTAATTTGTCATGTCCATTGTCCATAGATATAAATTGAAGACTATTTGACAACATCGGTACGCAATTAAAGTATAATAATGAGATTCACACCTTTATAAACAAGATTTATATTTAACTACAGTATAATTTCCAATCAGTTGTGTCTTAGAACCTTGTTACATTATAGAGGAGTAGAGGACTAACAGCACATGAAGTCTGTAATTACATGAAGTCGGTAACTAAGATCACTTTTGAGAGGCAGTAGCCAGTGCCGTTTTCATACATTGTTATATTTATTGAGATGTACTAATCTTAATAAAGATCCTTCAGAGATGGGGGTTGGGATCAATAACTCTATAACCCTAAAAAAATCAATCATTGATGACTTGAAAAATTACTCTACAACTAACAGATTATTTTCCTGCAACCCTTCGCCAATAGTTGGGAACTCTGATGATATCTTCCACTCCCCATCGACTAAGAACTTGATCTCATACCTATTCACCATGTACAAGAATTAGCATTATCAAGAATTTGTATCCTCTTTACTTGTCAGCCTAGAATTTGGAATAACAGAACTTCATAGTCGAGATAACAGATGGGTATGAAACAATGGTTAAAAAAAAAAAAAAAAAAGAATTATACCGCCCAGGTCGGAGCAACAGGTTCGTGGAAAACTTTGTATATGAGCCTGTGTACTCTGGAGATAGGTGTTCTCCTTGACTCCATCCATCAAAACTACCCATGATTTGCACACTCTGTAAACAGGGTATAGTTATAAACGCACTAGCACTCCACTATATTGGCTAGCTGAATCTTAGATAGATAAGTAGAAGCAATTGTGATTATGATGTGACTCATGTGACTCTAATTTGCAATTGACAACAATGAACAACAAACAAGAACAACAAGAAACCAACACTGATAAACATAAACAAATAGGAAGACAAAGTCACCGTGGGATGCCTGAGAACCAAGAGAAAAACCCACCCTTGCACTATGGAATTATATTGATGATGAACAATAGACTGTCATTTGGCTCGGTCAGGTCACTCCAGATTACGGGTCATTTCAATCGGGTCACGGGTCGAGAAATGCTCAACCCTGTCCCAAAGTTTTGGATTCGGGTCAATCCAACTGGTTTAAAACAATTTTTATTTAATTTTTTTTCTTGGCTTATTTTTAAAATTTCTGATTTTTAAAGCTTACTTTGCTATTTTTTTTTTCCAATTTTTTAATCGAACATTTTTACGATATTATTTTTTGCCATTACATACTACATAATTTAAATCGTTACCATTTCACCAAAACTCATTAATTCCTAACTAATAAAACATGATAATAAACTTAAAAATAAAACTTTTAAACATTCCAAAATTTAAGGAAGAGACAACATAATTATGCGTGGAGTATAATATCTCTTGACATAAAATCAGTATACCTGTCGATCGGTGGTATGACAGTGTGGGTTATATGGGTGCAATTAGTGTGGTCGATAATTGGTGTAAGAGGTGATTGGTGTGGATTTCAATTAGAGTTTTGTGAGATAGATAAATGAGAAAGAGAAAAAATGAATGTCCGATAGTAGACACACAATCAAGCTTACTCAATAAACTAATATAAATTTCCAAATAAATGTACTTATTTAAAAAACCCCATAAAATCGGGTCGTTGGGTCGAGTTTGACCCATAAGGCACAATTTTACGAATTAAACGGATTTGGGTTGTATTGGGTTATGGGTAAAATAAAAAACTTTGTTCAAGACCCAAGAAAACGGGGAAAATGGGTTGGGTTTGCGGGTGGGTCGAAATGAACAATATATAAGGTTTACGAGCATTCAATGCTCTCTCTCACTCGCTTAAAACCTCTCTTCAACCCTAAGAGTGTTAAATAAAGTGGATATGACATATGAGAATGTCACACAAAGTAGCTGTAAGGCACTATTTGTTAGTGGACTATCTTAACCAAAAGCTTAAGCTGAGGCCCAATAATATGTTTTATACTCTATCACGCCCCCTCACACGAGAGCCCGTTTTGGCTAGAAGTGTATATGCAGCATGGGTCCTTCTCATACCCAGCGCTTAATATTGCACTTGAAAGTAAGGGTGGATGAGATTCGAACTCGTGACCTTTGTGTCACGCTGGTTTTGATACCATGTTAGTAGACCATTTCAACCAAAAGCTTAAGCAGATAGTTCAGGCCCAAATATAAAACATATTCTTAGAGCTGTGGCACCCGGTTTCATGATGGTGTGAACAAGGTCGTTGGAGATGGTTCCATAAATCCATTGCTTTACAATAGCATCCAACCTCTTTTAAGTTGCATCATCAATCTCCGTCGGACGAGAGACGGTAGTATCAATATGAGCTAAGACATTGAAAGCACAAATTTGAATCTGAAATAGTTCAACCCACGTTGCATATTGTGCCTCTTCATGATCGAGTGTAACAGACGTGAGATTTTTTATGTTTGAAATGGCAAAGGTCGAGTGGAAGGTGTTGTTTGAGGGAGGAAGAGGAGGAGGGGGGGGGGGGGGAAGAGTGTCATCACCTGCCATGGAGAAAAGGAAGGAGAGTGATCTGCGGAAGTGGTGGTTCACGGCAAGGCCAAGGATCGGCTAGGGTTTGAGAGATGAAAAAAAAAATGAAAACCCTAATTGGAATCTGATACCATGTAGAGTATAAAACATATTCTTTCTTGGGCCTCAACCATATATGGTTGAGTCCCAAAAATATGTTTTATACTCTATCAACTTATATTAAGGGTTTAATGAAGCATTAATGAAAACGGAGATTTCTTGTCACATGTTTGAAAATGGACCAACATGGATATGTTAGGTAACACACGAGCAACAAGAAGCTAAACTCGAATTTGGAATGCTAAACCCACGTATCACTACTGACATAGACATATTGCCCCTGACATGGACATGCCATCTAAGGCATGGACGTGTCATCTTGGGTCCAGCATCCACTAGTTTTTTTTTTCTCCCCAGGACAACCCAACATGGACAACATGCTACTTCAAGGCATGAATACATCCCCTCCTTTAGCCTTTTCAAGCTCACATACTTACATGCATAGCCTTCGTATGGCTCCATACACACCTTGAACCATCTCCACACACTCCCAAACCTAAAACCAATGCAATGAACTATCTTAAAAATTTAGAGCTTCAACCACATTACAAAAAAAGGTTACAATGAAGCAATTAGAAAAGACCTCCTGCATTGAGTATTGTGTCCAACATAATTGGAGAATAAAAAAAAAAAAAAAAAAAAGATGCATGGAATTGAGGAAGCATGATGATAATAGAAGAAAGGTGATGGCATAACAATGGCAGGTGGTGTTGTGGCACGAATCATGACACATTTTGCTAATTTAGTCTTGCCAAAATTACCAATTGGGATTTAAACAATAAAACAAAATAAAAAATTACTGATTTTTATTTTAAAATAGGGAGACAGTTATCGCCTCCTTGTCCACTTCTCCCTCCGCCCCTGAGCACGATACATTTTGCTCAGATACTAACTTTAGTATCAACAGATAAAAACCACAATTACAAAAAAAAAATAAAAAATAAAAAAAAAAAAAAAAAAATATGAATGTAAATTCTGGATGAGCACTATGATCTCAAGCCTTTCAAAGTACGAAAATATATTAGTCCGATCTTAAATAGACACTAAAAACGAAAAACAGCTGAGTGCAACATAGCTTTTCCATTCTTACCTCAGCCATACCAATCCAAAATACTGGCACCTCCTTGGACTGTGCAGCAGCTACATCCTTTATCTGGTCCTGAAACTTCTGTTGAACAGCTGGAAAGGGGGACAATAATATTATGAATTTCTGATGTTCCAATTCTTAGTACTAGAGATGGAGAAAGTATCAAGATGTTAAAAAAAAACGACTTTTTGAGGTTGAAACATTTGTATTCCTGACTGCGTCTCATGATCCCCTCCAACACAACAGATAAAAATTAAGTGAATGAGTGTACTAACCAAAGACTTATCTAATACCTCCCATACAAGTATGATGGTTCCATTTTTACAACAATATATTACAGGCTTACAGCATAATGTGCAAAAT